TTCATAGGGTTTGGAAAACCGTTAAGCTCTCTTCGGAGAGGTCACTCACCGGGAAAAGAGTGAAAGGAAAAAAAAGTCAAGGAGGGAAGCCGCTCCCGCCTGGAGTCGGGAACGGTTGGCCTGCTCGGCTAAACCATTCAGTCGTTGAGGCTCTATTCTTTATAGATAAGCGGAGTGCTGTGATTTTTTTCCTTTCCGAGCCGTTTTCTTCCCTCAACGTAGCCTGCTTTTCTTCTGCGGCCCGTAGGAACGCACCGCCCGGAATCAGGCTGAATTCGCCATCTTTGAACAGCAGGTACGTTCGATAACGGCTCGACGTGCTCAACCGAAATCCAGGCCTGTTCGTAAGTTCCCCTAGCCGTCCCTCACCGCGAACCGCAAGCGAGTCCAATAAACCTCGTAAGTCCAGCGGGGAGTTTCCCTGTTGAGCCAGCGAAGACAGCACGGAATTCAATAACGTTCCATCTTGCGATAGCTCTCATTTGCCTTGCTCTCGCTCATCGGCACAAAACGGGGAGCCGAACGAGGTAGAATACTCGAGAACGGAGAGGATCGAGAGCGAAAGTACCGTACGGACAGAGTAACTCATATTACTCGGGCATCGTCCGATCCACATCTCAGCAATTCAACATTAGCAGCTGCAGCAATGCGAGAAATAACAGGTGCTTGCTTTCCTCTTCTGGGGTCGGACGATGTAGTTGCGGTATGTAGTTTACGGCCGGACCGATAAGTGAGTGCGGCCCGCAAGAAAATCTTCCGAGCAACACAACGGATGCTCCGACCGCTGCGTGCGAGGGCCGCGAAAGCGCGAAAAAGTGGAGCGGCAGGACACTATATCCAAGCTCGAGCGAACGAGACTAAACCTCGGCCCTCATCCGAGTTCGGAGCTCCGGGAAAAGCGCGGTTCCTTTTCCTCCTGGACGACTGATCCCCTCCGTTTGGTGAAGTGATTCGTATTCATAATAATTCCTCGTCGTTTGAAAAGAGCGGCCAAGAATGGAGGGCTCGAAACTGAGGAGCTCGAAAATCCGAACGAATTTCGAGCCGCTCAACAACTCTTCATCCTCGCGCAAGGAAGGCAATGTCCGGTCAGTTGGGTTGAACCACGATTTGTTGGATAACACGCGTGCGTGAGACATTCACCAACTGTAGCGAGCGGAGAGGGATTCAATTAATTGTGTGGTGCAGAGCAAGCGTTTGAGCGTTCTCGCTCGGCCGAGGACAACTCGGACCACCCGAAGGGTCCAAAGGAGCCGGAGGAGTGCAGCAGAGCCGCTCGCGAGGGTGCAGGGAATCGCTCAGGAACTTGACGATGGGATGAAGGGAAGCAGACTCGCCGACCTGCTAAGCCAAGCTGCTCCGAGCTACATTCGTTTTCTGTGTTCGCATCAAGCGACGACGGCAGAGTCAGCTGTCCGCACGTTGCTTTGGCTCGTGTGTCCCTTGCAGAAGCCCAAGCCATTTCACGGCTGTCAAGTCACTTTGGACAGGACGTACGGTTCTTGGGTGAGACTTCCAAGGCCTCAGCCAGTCAGTCAGATGTGCTCCGGTGAAGGCGGCGGCGGCAGCGGCAGGATCCACTCGTTGCCGGCGAAGCAATCGCTCAGTCACTTTTCATTTCTATGGGTGTCTCTAGAGAGTTTCTCCAGAGAATCTCGGAAATTCTTCTTCTCGGCTGCGAGAAACAACCATCGCCGGAGCGATTGCGACTCGCACGTGGAATATCTCAGAATTCATAGTGGGAGACTCGAGGAGGTCCCCACGAGCCCAAATGAGAGTTTCTCTCAGCGGGCAAACTTCGCGAGCAATGTGCGTAGAACCTGCTGCAACGGGGTTGGTTTGTGCTCAGTGAGCCAGAGAACATATTGGACGGAAGAGTTGCAGCTCCTGCGTGAAGATGTGGCGACCGACAGACAGGAAGGCATCGGTACTTGGCTGTTTGCTTGGAAGGATTGATGGGTGGACGGACGGACGTATACCATGGGATCCATATGAAGTATAGGCCCTATATAGGAGCTAAACAAGTAATTTCGCTCACTCGCATTGATGTGAGGTGGGGTGGACGCCACCTGGACCGACTGGCTGCGACCAGCGCAAATACAGCGACGTCTCACACCCAAACCACAGTCGGCAACCAACAGGGTGCCATCCAGCAATATCGCGACGAATCTTTCGTTCGCGCAGTATTCCTCAGTCTCCACTTGAATAAGTGTGATTCTACGGCAGAATCGATCCTTGAATACTCTGGCAAAGTTTTACAAGACTTGGGCGAAGTTTTCCGCTTCGAGACCGGAGTCCTCATGTGTCGTCTGATCATCTGTTTGTATGCCTACCCTCCTTCGGTCGCTCATCTCGAGACATTGTTGACGAGCCGTCTGCGAAAGTTCGGGGATGGGTTTCGAAACCGGCTCCGATAACGAAATCAAAGATCAAGGAGACAAATTATTCGAGTTTCCGATTGGATAACTTTCCCTTCTCTTTATCATCTTGATGATGCGTCAGCGGTCCCGGTGACGTGACGATTTTATCTTTTTCTTCTCATATCTCTTCCAGCCGCGGTTATTTCACCCTGCGAGCAAGTCGACATCGTTATTACGTGAGTAACCTTGGCGAGCACAAATAACATCGACCGAGTTATGCGCCGCGACTTCTGCCGGTGCTGCCGTGGCAGCCGCTCAAGCCACCGAAAGCTACTGTGAGTTTTTCTTCGGGAACAAGCCGAATCCGCATCTAAAACGGTACTTCCTGGTCTTTCAAAAATACCGAATGTGCGGTACTCACTAATGGTGCACCTAATCGCGATCTTGTGAGAGTGTCACAGAAAAGCAGCGGATATACGTCCGCATTCAACATCGATGTTCTGGAGAAAGATCACGGAAATTCCTTACGGAAATATCGAACGGAGCTCCTGCCATGGGATTCTTGAGACCTAAAAGTCAAGCGAAGCCTCGAGCAGTGGAATCCATCGAAAGGAAATGTGGAGGCTATGGAATCTATGTGAGTTTCTCTCCAGGAATTCTGTGAGAAGGCTCCCGAATGGTTCAGATCAGGATGGACCGCGGCTGACGACGGAGAAGCCGCGTCCTGGTCTCACATCACAACGACGTTTGGAAATCTGGAATCGGACTTCCACAGCCTTCCAGAAATCGAAAGAGCGAAAGTTACGTAGGGGGACCTTCTCATAAGCAATAGAATGGTAGAGCTTAGGTTCAGTTCCGGTACGACTGCGAGCACATCCAAAGGCCTTCCAGAAAATGAGTTCATGTCATCTCAACACACGATCTACTCTCAGAATGCAAATGTACATTCCCCCTTCGGGAGCTGGTCCACGTCACTGAGGTCTCAATCCGTTCCCATCGTTGTCTCCAGTCGTCGCTCGGAGGCAGATGCTTCGAGACAACTAGCCTCACAGATTTTTTCTCCATCGGACGGCGCTTTCCCCCCTCCAGGCATCTGTTCATCTGACAGAGTCTGCCCACGCACCTCGCATCCTCTCCTTGGCGCGTTCCTCACTTTCGATTTTTCTCAATTTTCAGCGGAACAAATTCACGCGGCCGCTTCGTTCGCCCCTGTCCATCGTTGTTTGCGCGATCCTTAAAATAGAAATGCGTTGCCAAACGCGACAGGCAAGGAGGTTCGAGCGGCGGAGCTGTCGGTGGCGGCACTTGTTCGGCCACACGGCTTGCCGCAGAAGACGCCGCACACGAACATGGCTCTGAAGTAACAAGTCGGAACGCCGTTAGGCGAGAAATTGCCGACACCGTTAGATCCGCGGAATCATGTGCTTGGGGAGTGCTTTGAACACGTGAGGATCCTTCGCGTACTCTGTCCCCTGTTCTGACGTGGACTGTGGGTGTCTTGAGTGAATAGAGTGGAAGTTTTCGCTAAAGTGTCGAGTTCGCAAAGGAGCGGGTTCTCGCTCTGAGTTGGCGTGGATCGGACCGTGATAGTGTCGTTCGCGCCGCTGACGCAAAAGCTTGGAAAATGTGAACAGCCTTTGCAAAATTTAATTCTCCGTGGCTTGGAGACCGAAGCGCCGCCCAGGCCGTCGCCATGTGGAGAAGTTTCAGCCATGCCGGGTTCCTACTGTCCGTTTTCCTCAGTTTCATTCTCATCTTGGTCATACTTCACCCTGGAAAATTCCACCGGCGAGATGTCGCAAGACGAGGTGAGCGAACTCTAACGTGAGCCGAGTGTCAGGCGGACGTCCGGCTCTTCATTACGCCCCTCGATGAAGTCCACGGAGGGTATCCAGCGGGAATGGTTTCTTGGATACTCCAAGATCAATCAGAATCCACTTTTACTTCGTTATGGTGGAAATTAATCCCGAATTCCATAAGCTCTATGCTAGCTTTGAGCAGAGAGTTCGGAAACTGTTCGTCTCAGTCACTTGAGCTCTCGGGATTCCAAAGTTCCGAACGCAGAGTTCGGAGGGAGGAGCGAGATCGCGGCAGGGAAAGTTCTCGGGCTGGGACGAGCCAATCTTCGGGCATACCACTTTGATCGACATTCGTCCCGTGACCTCGGCCTGCCTCCGTGGTTACGAGTCAAACAGATTCACTCCTGATTTAGCCAGAAATCGTTGCCCGGCCCTAAGCTCGTTTTTCTGTTCATCACGTGGCGATAGCAAGCGACACGAACGCTGTTCTCGGTTCGAGTCTTTTGTAGCCGATTGCGAAATACAGCATGAATTGACTCGATTTCCCGCTGTCAATACTAAATTCCGGAGCGAATCCACAAGGCGACACAAGCGTTGAAGATTGTGGCCCTGGACAATTACGAATCTCCATAGGAAAGTGAGGAAAAACACACGTAAGAAGAGATGTGCAATTTCAAGCTTCTTTCGATTCTTTCCAGCGCTTGCGCTGTCATTACGCCAACGGGCCTATGACGAATATTCATTGCGAAATATGAACCATAGCACCGTCCCCTTAATCCATTTGACGATGGAAAGCTCAAAACCAAAGCGAATGCTGCTCCTCCGCGACCTCAACGATCCCAGCCCTGCCAACGGACCTCACCAAGTCTGCGTTGCCACTTATGGTGCGTATCTAGCGACCATGCGTGGAGTTTCGAAATGCGCCGGAAAGCTCCCAAGCCACCCAATCAGTTTGATAGCTGCCCCGCTCGTCACGGGACAGGGTGTAGCGATGATTCACGTGAGAAATTCATGGACATCCCCGACGTTTCAGGAAGTCTCCGCGACATATACCATGCAGTAGAATTATCATGGCTATGGAAAGCATCTCCGGTATCTGTGGCGCTCTTCGCGGGAGACGGTGAGGCGCATTTGGTGTTGGAGTACTTGCAGTACCTTTCGTCCTGTCACCGCGGTATCAAGAGCCACTTCGACTTCAGTCTTCTCGTGGCGAACAGTGACGATCTCTGGCAAAGCGAAAACGAGGCTTTCTACTCCAAGTTCGACTGCGAGGAGTACAAGGAGGCACTTACCGTAAGTCAGTGGTCTTTTTATTTTGTGTTTTTTTTAATAGATTTATTAAATCTCATCGCCGAAATATGTACGTACATCAATTGAGCTCAACTTCACTGAAGGCGCGCTCTTCGTCTATAACCTCGTTAATTTGGAAAATATTATTGCAAGGTCATTAATTTCATTTATTCGTGGTTATTTTTTCCTGTTGAGCGAGGAAGAAACGCACTGGCCGTTGTTACCGAGAAAAATTAAAGAATACTTCGGGTTATGATTTTCGGTTTCGCATTCGACCAGAACCGCATGTGGTCCCGACTCTAAGAGTGCTTACAAATTTTATTGGCAGTACCAACTATCGCGCAGGCTGAAACCAGCGACTGCTTCGGCGGAGGCGGAGTCGCGGAGCGAGCTGCGGTCTCGGCCGGGACCGATCCCCGAAAACGAATTGAAGAACATAGCTCAGAGTGGATGCGAGCGGCTTCAAGTTAAACGGGCCCTCACCCTTCCCTTGGGTACAATGCCAAAACCTCGTTTGGACATTGAGCTCGCCTCTTTTCTTAGGAGTTTGCCATGCGAAAAATGTATCCTCGTTCTTCCCTCGTTCCTTTGTAAGTATCATAGGCTTTTGTTTGGCGAGACGGCGGCGAACGGGCGTGCGCCCGTTTCTTAGTCTCTTTCTTCGTCACCAAGTTCCGCTCCCGGTCCTATGTATGAGATGGTCTCCTAATCTACGCTGGCGCTGTTTCTTATCCCAGCCGCACCGTCGTTCAGTTTAGAATTTCGAATAAGAGAGATAGTCCCCCTTCGGTGTTCATTGGCATTGAGAACTTCTCGACTCGAAATGGAAAGTAATTAAGGGAGAAGAAAAACTGACTCGACCGGAAGCGGGCAATGTGAATGATGATTTCGTATGAGTTGTCGAGTTCTCTAGTAGAGGAAGTTCTCAGATGGCCCATGATTGCGGAATGATCCTCTCGATGCCCCGCTCTTTCTATGAGACTAAAGTTTTGATGCTTTCTCCCGCAGCCGCACAAAACCAGAAAGTCCCTCGTTCGAAGTCTGCTCTTGATGCTCTGGTTAGCCAAAAACGTTTACTTCCGGTCGACAACGCTACGTACCGCCTTTGGGAACTCTTCAACGAAGAGAGTATGACTTTGGCCTTCGAGCCCAAGCCCCGTCTATTCCCGGCGTACGTGGCGCCGCTCGATCTGCCGAAACTGGACATACGCTTCAAGGGGCAAGACGCAACGAACACTCAGCTGATCGAGGCTTACCTCATCGGTTATCGCTTCTGGGTGCTGAGCGATGGCTTCGTGGTCAGGAAAATCTTCGGCCACAGGACGCCGAAATCCACAGACTTGGCTGGCCAATCCGAGAGGCGTAAGCGGACCCAGACAGCAAGCGACTTGAGCGCTGCAGAAGAGTTCAAGAACGAACTGCGGGGCAAGTACCCGTTCGTCGAGGAGATTCATTGGTCGAACGATTATCTACAGCTCAAAGAGAAACAGTGAGAGTACGGTATTTATGATGACGCTTCGACTATGTCGATAAGGAAGAGCCTCAGTCAGTGGGGAACCCCGATACTTGTACTCTCCTCCGTCAGAGCCCCGAGGAAAGTCAACGCAGCTCCGGTGTGCTCCATGGTGTATAGAAACTGTGAAAATAAACAACTCAAACTACTAAACATAACCCCTCGCTCGAGTACCATAGTGTGATCATCTCCGGACTCTGGAGCTATGACCGGAGTGTCTCGCACGTCGCTAGCTACATGGATTTCACATCTTTTCTGAGACCATGCGACTCCTGGATCGATGATCGAGGAGGAGCCCCCCCTCTCGCGCATCGAGCGTCTTCGAGCGCGGAACTTCTGCTCATAAAATATTTTTCAGTCTTTCGACAGGGTCAGGATCAAGATGACGGGGAGCAGTGATGATTTCAAATGCAGAGGGTTCTCATTGGCTCGTGCTTTCCCTGGGAGAGGAGGAACAAAGAAATTCTTTTGAAGAGAGATCTAGTTAGCCCTTACAGCGGCGGTCCGAAACTCAACAAAGGGGAAGTTTGAGCTGAACGTTCTGAAAGTTTGAAACTGCAGCAGGAAAATTCCGCTTGCTCGTACGTGATCAGCTCGCTCGTGGCTTCAATCAAAACTAAATCAAGTCGCCATCGCACGAGGTGGCTTCCGATAGCGCCGACCGTGTTACGCCACCAGCACGAGTCAGTCAGTCACACAGTCGGAGAGTTCATCGTCGGTCCGTCGGCCTGTGGTTCGGTGGGTTTGGTGGAAGTTGCCCGAGGTGCGTGGAGTCCGCAACGCGTGACTATCACTGTGCCGAGTCTGGGTTGGTGCTACAGCCACGTTTCCTTTTTGTCGGAAGACGGAGAAGGGAAAAACGTCTGACTCGAACACCCCTACATTAATACATATCACCCGTCCCCCATTTCCTGGCATCGTCGTTGGACAGCCCCTCTGGATGGGCGCCCTCCCTACCAACACGAGCACTTTCACAGCTTCGGAAGCGGGACTTCACTCATCACTTCTGAACGAAGTCCTGGAGGAGCGCCCGCTCGTCAAGCGAGCGGCTTGAAGGAAAACAAAGAGAGGGAAAATGAGTCGCTTTTTGAGCAATTCATCTGCAGTCCTACGAGACAGAGTCCATGAAAGGAAGACCGCGGCGGCGTACGGCAGGCTGCTTGACTGAAGCGCTTATCGCGACCGCACATCCGCTTCCCACTCATCACACTTACACGGGTCGGAGTAATTTTCGAGGCCGGCCTGTCGACGCAGGAATTAAAGTGGTGAATGAACAGAGTATCAACTTGTTTGCCCGACCGACCGACTCCGTCCAAATAGCGGGAAGTTTCCCGATCGCTCCGTAATTTCCCTTCGATCGCGATTTTCTATCACCAGGCAATGCCCATAACGGAAGTTTTGCGAGACCTTCTCGTTGCGAGACGGCTTTCGGCAAATCTTGAACTGCGAGCAAATGTTCGCCTCCGAAGAGATCGGTTGCCACAAACTGCTTTCGCCCGATCCGTTTTCGAATGAATATTCAAGGAGTAGACGCTTTTGATCATCTCCAGTGTCCTGTGAAACGGCGATGGCTCGGATGGCGCTTTGCACATCACTTCCCTGTCCCTGTGGTAACATATCAAATTTCGAACTATTCCTCTGAGGAAAAAAGACATCGTCGATGCTCAGCTCCGCCTCCCATGCGATCTGCTCCCTCAGATTCCTCGAAAACGACGGCTACTGATGAGAGGGACTGAGGCCATGAGCACGTGTTGGGTTGATGACCGTGTTCCTTGGATAAGTACTAAAATTCCATCCCAGCTAGTCAGAAGGATTCGGGAGACAAGGAATCGGACTCGTTGGAGTGAGCATTTCCGTAGACCCTCACGAGACGTGCCTGACAAAATTGCTATGGCGTGATACGAAAAAGCAAGTCCGCCCAGTATACATAGATGAAGCGGGCGGTTAACTCAAACGAAGTGATAGGTCGTCGGAAGGAGAAGCAAGGCAGCGGGATAGGCAGACATCACACAGGAGCCGTCAACGTAACGAAACGTAACTCGAGATGCGTGTGGTGTTCTCATGCCAAGCCAAGTCTGACCCTCCACGAGCCGAGCTTCGGTTTCCTCGCTCTCAAGGTACTCTTCACTCCGATTGGGACGGGTCGGAAAGCACTATCGGAGCTCATCGAGACTGCACATGCCACTCGTTGAACTCCAAACGGGAAGCCAAATATCCGAGACTTCCAAATCGACCGAGTCCCCGCCGCCAGAACACGTCGATTTCCCATGGCCCTGAATGCGCTGTCGAGGGCGTCGAACATCAAAGACTCATGATTGCTCAGTATCGAGTAACCGTGATCGAGTCTAGCCGAGGAACGGGACCATATCCATCGTGGGGAGGCTCCGCACGCCTCTCCACAAGGAGGTCTCAGCTCAGACAGAGCAAGTTCTTAAAGCAGCCGGTCACTGGTTGACCCAGGGGGAATTCCAATAAAATTCAATCGTGCAGAGTGACTTTTTCATCGGCTTTGGCTCGTTTCTCTTCCCAAAAAGACCGCAGTCCCTTATAGTGATAAACTACCGGCTACCGACTGGCCTACCTGGAGCCGCTTGTTACGTGTTTGCCGCGACTAGCCACTGCGACCATTCAACAGAGTCCTGGGATTCGAATCGCTGTATCGACTGTGACTGAGTTTGAGATCCCTGGTCACGATCGTTTTGCACCTCGTTTTGAAACCAGCCTTCGCAGGCAGGACTCTTCCCGTCTCCGAAGGAGGCAGCCGACCGGGACGCTTCCTTTGTTGATTCACAGACAGCAAACACCGGGGCCGCGGAAGACGAATCCAACAACGAGTTGTGCGTTTTGAGAAATGCTCGTGTGCCGGTGTCGAAGTCCAGATTCTCCATCGTGCAGCGAGCCACCACCGGTTGCTCCACCGCGGAACGGTGGTAACTGTGTTACGGCCCATAGGAAACGAAGTTAGAGCCGCTCCATGCTGACAAGTCAGAGGGGACGGGAACGGAACGGACCTCCCGAATCGAGACGCCGCCGTCCGTTACCCGGATCCTGATCTTCAATGCCTTTTGTGGACTTTCTTCTGCATTCGCCATCGTTCCTTCCTCCTGATGAGGAGTTGAAAATTCGTCGGAGGAGTGGTGATAGCCTCGGTCCACAGTGGAAGGCATTTCTTCCTGTCTCGATTGGGGAGGGAGCGCTGGATCTAATGAAAAGTTCGATCGCCACGGATCGGTCCATGTGTAAGAAATGCTTCCGGTGCGGGGAATCAGAGCAATCCGTTTCCCAGATCCCTCTGTTGCAGCCGAGCAAAATCTCAGATTGCTCCTGGAAGACCCCCGCTCCGGACGAACAGGTGAACACTGATAGAGGGAATATCGCCCTCGAAGACTCATTCAGTGACCTTGGATGAGCAGCGATCTTGGATTCGGAAGGAGGTGAAAAATAGATCTGACATCTGTTGTATGTTCGAAAACGTTTGTAAGGAGGACAGAGGACAGACAAGTTCTAGATGAGGGTGGTAGATAACATCAGCTCGACGGATTGGCGAACAGAGGCAAGACAGCATCCACACCTTCACGCATTAGCAACGATCCGCATCATCAAACATTAACACGGGTGCCGACGCGACGCCGTTACCGCCAACGTCCATAATTAAGGCAAGTTGACGAGATGCTGTGACTTTTTCACCAAGAAAAGACACAATGAACCAACATCCCTAACGTACCAACTGTATCTCCCGGCACGTATCAAGGGTCCGCGCTACGATACCTTGTCGTGAGATCTCGTTCAACTCCGGTTGATTGCTTGAGGAAGAGCATCGAGCATCGAACCTCGCGTCGGGTGACTTCGTATCGAGAAGCCAAAGGATCGTGTCGTCCACGAGAGAATCTCGAAGGAAACCGTCCTCGAAAGGGAATTTCCGCCTTCAAGGTTCCGACGATGCTTGCCTGAGCCAGAAACTCTACCGAACTGGACCACTTAGCCAAGGCCCGATGTCCCGGTTGTTGTATTTCACATTGGTTCCGAGGACGGATCCAGAGAGCAAAAGTATCCACGAGAATCAAGGCCGGGTACCCGCTCATCCGGCAAGCAGTGGGTATTGATCACACGCCAGCTCCCGAAGGAGCACGAATTTTATTTCGGCACTCTCTCCGATTTCAGTAACTTCCAGCCCGAGTCAGCGCGGTCTGAGCTAAATTCCGGAGCCTCCGGATTGTGCGAGCAGCCTTGTCATGAGTCGCCGATCGCTGACTCCTCGCCTGATGTTCATTGTCATTCAGAGTTCGGCTCCTCTGATTCCCTGAGCGTCGGAGGGCTCTCGATCGGAGGCCTGTGGTTTAGCCGATGGAATCTGGGTCTCCGCTTTTTATCATTCACCCGCTCGACGTCTAAAATCTATTGAATGGAGTGGATGAGCACGGAGAGGAGGAGGTCGGAGAGGAGGAAGCCAAAAAACCCGAGCGGGGTCGCCTACAGATAACGTGCTCCGACGAGGGGTCTAGTGAAAGAGTTCCCCGAAGGAAATTCTCCCCGGGACCGTGGGAGCTAGGACTCGAGCGGGATAAATGTTATCTATAATTGCTTTCGGTCCCCGGAGATCCCTAGTCGCCGTGTTTCTAAGGACGACGTAAATCACGTAGCCTGACGTCAGCATCGAGACGAGATCATTGCCTCGGACCTTTACGCATCGGAACATTGAAGCGAAAACTACCGAGGGCCGGAAGGAGCTTGCCCACCAGAGCTTCAGAGATATTCGAAAGATGAGATCCGCTCGAGAAGAGCTTTGTGAAAAGGCTGATGTCGAATGTAGAGACCAGGAAGCCGGAAAAGTTTCACCGCGAGTGCAATCAGTTGATAATTCGCGCGCGAAGCTTCTCCTCATCCTCCTTCCTCCAGCTCCTTGCAGTTCTCCTCCGTCTGACGGCGCGGCGGGTGCTGCGACCGCGAATACAAAAGGTGCGAAACAGAGACAATAAGTCGAGGCGAAGAAGCGAAAATTTCTGAGGAGCCGCGCCGAGAACAAAAGGAACAAACGGCTGCAGCCCCGCAGAATCTCTTCCTCCTTTGACCCCTGGGCTCAAAGAAAGGCGATTGTTTCAAACGGTGACAAAAGATTCATTATGTGGCTCGGCAATCTGTTGACTCATCCATCACACGTTGTGCGCTCATGTACCAAGTCATTTTCGAATAGTTTCGTTCCTTTATGGGGACGCGAAGTGATCCTCAATCCACGTGACGCCATATGCGCTGAACTTGTCAGAAGGCGAGAAGTATCCATGGAATCTCGTGGATGTCGGCTTCAGGAATCGTCCGACATCCGTGTTAGAGACGCCCAGGATTTTCCTGCGGCTATCGGTCCTCGCAATGGAACCCATGATACTCACTCGGGGGACGGTTTTCGGAGCTGCTATCAGGATACGGAGCTGCTCCAATTGCTCTGCCTTCGTGTCTATGTGGGCTCTCGCGAGTGTGTCTCTCGAGTCCGGGAGGGGGCTGGGTCTCCGAGGGCAGGACGACGGGGGGTTAATTCTCCTCACGCCTCAATCAGGTTATTCTGAGCCATTCATCCGTGCAGAGTCTCTCTTTCATTCATTCATTGCGTCTTCCTCCACTTCTCGTTGCGATGTGTCCCGTGCACAGCCTCACAAGTGGTGGCGACCACCACCACTTGTGTCCCACACCTCCGGCCCACCTCAACCCCCAGCCCGATGTTCTCCTTTCGCCTGGAGTGCTAGTAAGGAAGATAACCTGCTCGTCACTGGGAAGGAAATTAAACCGACCTACCCCTACAGCAGCTGCAACGCCGCCGCGCCGTCGCCCCCACGAGGACGCCACTGGATCCTTGGTGTCTGGAGCAAGCTGTCACATATGACACGGGAGACCTGTCATCACGAAATTTCGAGACGACCCCGCTGAATTCAGCCAGTTGCATTATTTGCGCCCTTAAAGCATTCCGAGGCTCGTAGCGACCATCTCTTCCAGGAAAGTTGTGAGGAGCCTTCAGTTCAACACGGGATCGTATTCTTGAGCGTACGGCGAACCTATGCGAGAACGCTTGGAAGCTACATTCCCTGGAACTGAGTGGGAACTGATTCCCTCGAAAGCGACGGGGATCCCGGCCTAGTATAGCTAACACAAGTTGTCCTTCCAGTGTTGGGGAATTTCGATTCCCACTGAAAAATTCGCACATCGAATGCCGACAGAAGTTCGGCGAGATGACGAAGTCGGTCGGAGCCAAATCCAGATCGAAAGGGCTTGCGTCAAGGCTGAAACCACGGAACGGCAAAAAAGTTCATCCTGTAGAGGTTGCTTCAATCAATCAGTTTTCTCTCCTCTGGGACAGACTCTTCCGTCAGATGAGCTCGCCTTGGAAGAGCTCTCGTGGGATCCAGTTTTCATAGAATACGTTTTCATATATTTCTCATGATCTGTCTCAATTTAATTTCAATTAAAAAATGAGAGCCACATTTTCAGAGGCACCGATTGTCTACTGCGCTACGGGAAATAGAAAATGTTCTCGTCGATATTGATAGACCCTCTGTCATCGATACAGCAGACTTCCAAGGGCAAGCGCTCGCGATTTCGTCCAGGCTAGGAGGGAAAGAATACGTCAATATCTTCGACACTCTGATCACCCTGCAGGGGTAAGAGTCCGAGTCCTCGATTCCGACTCGAGTCGAGATGCGGGAGATCACTCGGATGCACACATATACTCGATCCATCAGGCTTCGGCATCGACACCGATCGTTTCGTCGACTTTCAGTCCGAGCGTACAGGTTCTGAAGACCGTCTGCGTGATCATGCAGAGCTACGTGAAGAAGAACATCCTAATCAACGAGAACCTATATCCCGCGGAGCTCTACGTCAAGGATCAAGTCAACTTGTTTCTCCTGTCGATTCTCCTCGAGGTGAAGAAGCGCTACATCACCTGCGGTCTGTTCCGCGAAGGATTCGAGAACCTCTATTACATGGCTTCGTACATGTACGGCGTGGAGAATCAGATTGCAACGGTACTATGATTCATGCCAGGCTACTCAGACGCCGGGAGGAGCTTATAGCCTCCGCTTAGGAGGCGAATAATCTCGCGTTGCCCCAAAAAATTACAGCTGGTCGCAACGGAGCTCTGCAACGTGATAGTCATCTTGGAGGATATCGCGAACCTCGCCGAAACTTTCAGTGGAGTCTCGGTGACGAACTACAAGAAAGTGAAGGAATACATCAAGACGCAATATCCGGAGACAGCAACCGACCGGAGTATTTACTACGGGAAAGTCAAATATTTCCGGATTGAAAAACTACTCGGTCAGTGACGATGTTTTACTTTCCTTGTCTCTTGCTCCTCTACACACCTATCCAGAAGGAATCGCGGAGAACGGCAGGCGGGAATCTGAAGAAAGATTAGCTGGAGCCCTGGGGAGTTTTCCTGGAAGTCTTGCGATCTCCGGAACTCAAATCCTTACTTCTGTCAGGCGCGGGAGGCTTCGGCGCGGTGTATCAGGCTTCGATCGCGGGCGTAGAGTGCGCGATGAAGCATGTCCCGCTGCGGCTCCTTCCCGATCCTGAAAACTCGACTGTCGACAAAAAAGTGGCGTCCCTTATCAATCATATCTGTCTCGTGAACTACTTCGCTTGTTTCTGCACGCAAGAAAGTTACGTCACGGTCATGGAGTTCATCCGCGGCGTGGATGTCATTAAACTACTGCGTGAATGCAGGAAACTTCCGAAAGAGCTCGTCAAGATAGTCATAGCTCAGGTCGGTCTGGCTTTGCAACACATGCACTACAAGGGCTTCATCCATCGGGACGTCAAGGTAGGCCTTCAAGGCTCTATCCGTTCTCTTCAGCCTGCCGACGCTGTCCTCAAGACAATCCTTATCCCTCCGCCAGCCTTCGAATATAATGATATCGCGAGGTTGCCGAGTGAAGCTCTTCGATTTCGACACCGCGAAAGTGTGCTACGGCAAGCACCACAAAAAATACATGTTCTACTTCTCACGGAGAACTTCGGGAGAATTCAAGGACGGTGAAATCGCCGGTACACTCTCGTACATGGCGCCGGAGGTTTTCTCGAAGGATTTTTACGGTCGAGCAACTGATTGGTAGGTTTCGAATGACGGAGACTCGCTCTCGTTCATATACGGAACCGGATGCCTCGAGTCTCGATCTCTCTCGTGCAGGTTCTCTCTCGGTGTGACCGCATACGAGCTAGCGACTGGGAGGTTGCCTTTCCGTTTCGAGGACAAAGAATTCGACGAGCAAAAGGAAATCATCCGGAAAGGTCGCTATTCATGGCCGAAGGACCACGTGGACTACGTGTTGCAAGTTTTCGTCGATTACTGTCTCAGGCCAAAGCAACGTGAGGGATTCCTTGCTCAGGGAACCGCAGCATCTCCCGAGGAGAGATTCAAACTTCACATATTTAATCGCCAGAGAAAATTTGTTTCCCAGATCGACTGTGCACGAAACGTTACCTGGAGCTCCTCTTTCATCCGTACTTCGAAAATGTCTCGTGGGAGCACGTTGAGAACGGACAGGCTCTCATGGACTTTGAGCCACTGAACGCGATGATCGCGAATTCGTTCGATGAGCCTGGATCGAGTTCTAGTTGTTGCGTGGCTGATCAGCCGGCTTCGGAATCGGATAATCTAGAGAAAATAGTGGCATTATTCGGATGGCCGAGTCCGCAATTCCATGATACCGTGGGTCAAAAACCGATGTTCGTCTACTCTTCGATGGAGTTCCGTAAACTCATCGAGTCCATCAAGAAAAAACAGTCACACGCGATGGAAACTCTCTACAGACCGCTGGAGCGGGTCTATACAACAGAAAATAGAGAGGATTACGAATTTGAAGGATTCTGATGTCGGACTCGTCTCCGGGCAGACTTTCAGCTTTCTTCTCGTGGTCGATTCATGCAACTTCCGGGGTGTTTCGTGGGAATGTAATTCGCTGAATAAATTTCTTAATTCACCAACGCATGATCATCGGTCTCGTGAATCTTCCCTCAACGGAGTCCCCCGAGATGCCCCTGCTCGGAGAAGTCGCGTGTTGATGGACGAATTTTCGAACATTGAATTGAGTCGAGACGTTTTTTGCTTGATGAGAGTCCCGGCATATTCGCTGTAAGCGAGGATGGATCACCATCTGGCGTTCGGAGTCCAGTCCCCGGAAACGCGCTCCTAACTAGGGGGACTTCCTCGTCGCGGCTTCATGGAACGCATATGTTTCGGACAGGCTCTCCGACAAGTCGCAGCGAGTCCTCGACATCCGTCGCATAAATTACTGGAGGTAGCATAAACTTGCTTATTTTCGAGAAATTATTTCACTCGCACGAAAGTGCTAACCGCGTGAGTCCTGGGAGGTCCAAATCCACTGAGCTCGGGAAGAGTTCTGAGTTTTAGATATTCTCGGCTCGAGACGCATCGTAAACGGCGTCGATTCCAGCGATGAGCTCGGGCTGTAGACTGTGACGCGCGACTTAATGGAATTCACCATTAGTTTCCACTGCCTACATTAGCTTTTCAAAATCCGAATACCGATGCCTGTGGGGTGGAGTCGTCCCGTGAAAGTCTCGGACGAGATCTGACGGTGACTAGCTGAAAGATGAAGGAAAGAGACTTCTATGGAGTCGCTTCCCGGAGCCTGCCGACACGAGAAGCAAAGCTAATCCAACTTCTAAGTCTCCACCCGATATGCATCATCACCCAGACGGCCCCGCACGAGATCTATCCCTCTGTGGATCGTGATGAGTTTATCTATTGTCCCAGCTATTCGCCAATATAACCGAACGGCTCCAAACAAAACACCTTAATGTTTCAGGTTCGTGACCGCAGCTCGCGTCGAAGATCGAGCGAATCGCACAGGATTTTTTTGCGTTCCGAGGTACATACGAATTTATAATGACCTTGATTTTAGCAAATGCTCGTAGCCCGTTCGTTTCGGACGGCGCCAGGCCGAGGAAGCTTCGTGGGAGCGAATTCATTCGAGGCAGATAGGTTTCGATATCAGCCGAGCTAATCTTCACCCCTTCGTGCTTCGGTATCTATAACAATTACCGGTCAACTGTCCGCTCACTCGTAACCCGTGGATCTCTCCGCTATATAGCGAGGGCTCGATAAATAAAGTAGATAAATAATAATTACTATGGAGCGTGGGATCGACAGAGGGAGAAAGTAAATAAATAAACAGGGTCACGTGCAAAATTGTGGAGGCGAATCATTCGGGGAGCGAAAGATGCATCGGCCACACGAGCGATAGCGGACGAGCCGAGTCGGACCTCTGCTGAGTTTTTTTCCCCGATGCAGAGAAGCAGGTCGGAGTGTAGGCCGTACCCCAGAAACCCGAATCGTGCTGCCGGAGCTATTCGCGTCATCGGTTCTCGGTGAGCGCTCATGAGGATCTTTGGCAAATGCAAAAAAATCGTGTCGGAGGGGGATTCCGGAGGAGAAGGGATCCGCCAGAGAAAACTGAATATTCCCTCGGGTTCGCGCGAGAGTCCTCAAGCAAAAATCGACCGGAGGAGCGTCGTAAAATAATAAAACCGGGGAAAGGAACTCAGAAGTCAACGCTAGATGTTACGCTCGAAGATCAAGAAACGATGTTTGTCATAAATTCCGCCGCATCTTGATCCAATAAAATTCCTCACAGCGGACCACGGGGCTCCTTCAGTCGGATTCGTAGGCCATATCGAATTGGAACGGAATTTCATCGGATGCCAGCTCTGCTTCATACTCGAGTTGCTTTCGCGCGTGCCGGACCGAGCGGCATGCGACTCGATGTAACTTCTTGGTCTTTTTGAGATCGGAAGTTCTCCGGGCAACAGTAGAAAAAGCAACAGAGCGGCTTTGCAATGGTCACCTCTGTCACGCGGGTAGGGGCTGAGTCAGTCACGTGTCCGTTGGCTTGAAAATATCTACGAAACCAACCCGGCTCCGGACGAACGCATTGGCAGACGCCGGTGCCGACGGCCGACCGGCCGGCTGGTCGGTCAGTCAGTTTTGCGCTTGATTTCGAGGACACGATGAGAGCGAGCCAAAAATTTCCCTGGTGAACGCTCCGTGTAGCTCCATCTGGTTCCGAAGATTACTTCCTATCCGGGCTTCTCGAGGAAGAAGTTCGCGAGAGCACCGAAACCCACACGCGAACGAAACTTCGAGCGTTCGGGCAATGATCATCGGAAGAATTTCCCTAAGAGAAGGAGCCTGCGAGCCGCGGAAGTTCTTTGTTCTCCAATCAAGCTGGGCATGCACCTGATATATCTACGCGTGTTGGAAAGATTGCGTGATGTTCCGAAAGCTTAGCAAACTCCACGCGAATCTCTAGATGCAGAGCTCCTGAAATAGTCCGGTATTGAGCGCCCCTTATGAGGCCCGGACTTTCGTCAGCTCTTCCGCCCGCGCGTTGAACGATTCCGCGTCTAGCCTGTTCTTTGCGATGGCTGTCGAATTAGCATTTAGTGAGATTAAATAGCGTCTTATCGGCGAGAATGGGGGCGTCGCAAGCTCGGAGAACTTTCACAATCGGATCATGTTAATGAAGAACGCTCGCCGAGAGTTCCGGCTCAAACTGAATATCGCGCCCTGCAATTAGTACTCTTTGATGGTTAGTCATTATCGATCTCGGAATCGTATCGAGCTCAGGCTACGATTTTCTTTGTTGAGAGGCCGACGCTCAAGTGCAGTCCGAGGAGAGGGCGGGATACAGATGTTGTCCGGCCTTAGTTTCTCACGGAAGCGGGAAATCGGAATCGAAGCGCAATCCTTTTTCGACGATATACTCTCCAGGCGAACGTTAGACGGCTCTTTGCCGTGAATGTGTCAGTGAAGGAAAACTCTCGTCGACGGCTCCGGCATTTGGCCTTCGTCTCGGTTCCAAGAAACTATAATGGTCGCATGCTAATGCCGATCTCTTTCGCTGGGCGAGAATATCATTCTCACCCCTTTTAGAGGTAAATGGCCAACTTCGGCAAGTCCATTCCGGCCGATAGCTCCGCGAAAGGCTTATCGAGTTCGCCTCGAATAAGTCGTTTCCCCTGTTGGCTACCTCCAAGGAGCGCCTATTCCCTCTTTATGCCGGTGGACCTGATTTCGGAGTCCCTCTAGGAAACCTTGCGAGCGTACGGCGGCGAATCAACGTTATCGGATGTCCGTGACTTTCAAGGGCAGGAACTTCATAAAAAAAAGAGATAAAAGGAGTTTATGTCATTCGATTTCTTCAATGAGCCCTAATTATCATCTTGTCATGGGGACGGCGCCATAGGTTCTCGGAGGGTCGTCCAGAAGCCTTGAGAAAGCCTTCAATCTGTTGAGATCTTGTGAGTTTTTCCGACTGTTTAAAGATTTCGCCAGCCTACTCATTTTGATCCAAACGTCCTCGTCCACCTGATCGGAGGCTTCTTCTCGTTCGCGCATGTGTTGCTTCCGTCTCTCAGCTAGTTCTTTCCGCCATTGTTCGTACCTGGAAAGAAAGTCTTGTCAGATGCGATACGATTCGATTCTGCTCGGATAAAAGAGCATCCGAGAATAATTATCCCCGCCGTAGTGTACTAATTCGCATTCTCCGAGTCGCACAGGGTCGGAGCCCTGAGAAAATGCGGGCATGGAATAGCTCCCGCTTGGAAACTAAGGAACAGGGTCTGCTGTGCAACACGTACCATTGCGTTTTCTCGTTGTCTGCTTGGATGCGGAGCTGCTCTATAGCTTCAGACTCGAGTTCGTCTTTCTTTTTGAGCCTTTCCTCGAATTCTTCTTTCCATTTCTGCATGGTTTCGGATTCTTGACGTCTCCTCCTCGGCCGGGACTTTTCCGCTTTGGCCATCGCACGGCTGATTTCCTCAACGCTGGCCACTCGTTGCAAACTGATGCTGTCTCGGCCCCCCGAATTGGTTCTCTCTGACGTGGGTACAGGTTCTTCATCTGCGTCATTCGACGCATCTGATATTTCATCCTGAAATCGGGGCAATGTGATCCTCTCCCTCCCATCAAGGGCTGACTATCGAGATTGGGATCACGTCAGCATTGCGGCAGAGTCGAACCTACGGCAGATCAGAACGGCGCGACTCTGCGAGATTCCTCAATGTCGCATGAGTTCTACGATTATGTCAGTCTTGTCCGCGAAAATGTTACTCTATCGTACCGACACGGACGGCTTTGCGGCGGGAAGTCGGTTTTCGAGGAACCGTCACTCACGAAAGCTTACCTTGGCCGATTCCGGAAGTTCTGGGCTTCCGGTGCACCCGAGAGGAAATTCACTTTGCACGCCTCCGTCGCGCGTTTCCTCCGCGTTGTCTGGAGAAGTTCCCGAAGGATCCAGTTGTTGTTCAACGGCATCGGTCATTTTCACGCTTGATATTCTCTCGATCCAATCGCTCGAATCACCGCCGGAGCAGTCCGTGAACTCGCTCAGCCAGCTCGGAGCGGTGCTCTCGAACGGGAGGCGTTTTCCAGTGGCGTTTCCACTGTTATCGAATCGAGAACTTCTCATTCCTCTCGGATTCCATCGTCGGCGCTCTCACGGCCCGATAGAATCGGAAAACGATCCGATTAGATTCAGCACCGTTCGGTATGACTCTCGCAAGGGGTTCTGGATGAATCTATCACCATCTATGGTCATCGTCCACTGTCAATCGGGGACTTCCTTGACTAAAAGAAAGAAGAGTTCCCGAAACAATTGGATATAAACCCGGTGCTGCCTGCGTGTCCCGTGGCAGTCGTTCTGGCGGGACAGATACGATGGGAAGGCTCCCACCAGCTGGAAAAACACGATGATCCGAGAAAGACGATCTCAAAGAAAAAAAAAGGACATGGAGGACATTCAACCGAACCGTGGCGGGCAAGTTCTGGGCCGCTGACCTTAACGTGACAACATGCCGACACGCTCCGCTTGATGAAGAACCGCGAACTTTATGAATCGCGGGTCGATCACACGGAACATCAACGGAGTTCATTGCATCTAGCCTCGATTCGCAAGCGGCCCGCTGAGTGACGAGCGTAGACGATGAGGCGCCAATCAGTCTCCGGGAGTAGCTCAGACACCGATCAAATAGACCGCCCGAGCGATCCCAAGTTTGCGATGCTAAAAGTTTTCGCTTGCAAGTGACTCCGATCGCCGATATGAGGCTAAAGTTCCGCGAATTTCACTCGAACTGTCTGTCATGAAATTCGAAATCATCGACTCTATTGCGAGCAATTGCGTAAGCGCTCGCTCTGATAAAAGCGAACCTGAGCTCCGGTACGACCTTGAGCCACCGACAGCAAGAGCTAGCCGGACGATCGATGAACATCAGAGTGTCAAGTAACATTTGTCACCAAATGAATTTCACATCATCGGTCGTTGAGCCGGGATCGTGTTTGAGGCATGAGCGCTCTCCAGCTCTCAACAGTATCGATCGAAATGCTGATCTCACTGTGTGGACGCAAATGCACATCGGAGTAAGGGAGTGATTTCTCTCAATCGGCGAACTACAAACGGAGAAAAGCAACCAGCGAGCACGGCTCTGATTCTGACGAAGGGTCAAGCAGGTCAGTGGGTATAATTATACCGCAAACCGATATGCCATCCTTGATGTCAGTCAGGATATCGCATTCGGGAGAACACGGACCCGGACAGAGAATCCTTAATTTTCGCTACCGCAGGCCAAAGCTGTCAGGTGAGGCGGTCCAGGATGCAATATCGAGACGCTCCAATCGAGTCCCCTAGCTCCGGAATTGAACTCGGAGTCTGTTAAGGCGGCGCATTCCCGAACTCTACGGCGATCGGTGACTATTTCGGAGGAACTACTTATAGTTATTCCAGTGTGGCTCCCCGTTGAGCGGAGGAACGTTCCAATCTCCGATGATGTCAGATACGGACGGGCTCGTACACTGATGGAAGCAGCATCAGCGTTTACATGCGCGAAAAAAACGCACTCGGAGTTTTAGATATGTACAACGTTGAGTATTGCGGAAGGATACGTCCATTTTCATGGCGTTAAGAGTCTCCGCGATTCCTCGTCTCGCGGCGTTTCCGTCCACGGCTATGAATGACTGGAAGTCGCGCATCGGTTCCGAGGAAAAGCGGACGAGCTGGTGGGAGTTTTCCATTTTTCCGAAGCAATCCATTCACGACTCTTAAACGTGAGTGCTCCCGCTCTTCTGTCGGGAGAACCACAAGACCCCCGGAGCTAAGCCGGGAACATCCAGTACGCGGCCAGCGGAATAATTCACCATTGGGACACAATTTATCCGTTGCTCTTTTCATTTGCGCAGCCAGCGCGACTCACTAGTCAAATGGATGTCATGATAGACCAACCATGACCCATGTTGCTTCGTCTGGGAGCGTAAGCTGGAAGCTGCCCTCCGTCTCGACGTGAATATTCTATCTCCATCGGTCTATGTATCATCCCCGAAGCTCACTCTATGGATAGCGTTCTACTGCTGGGATGGATGCTGCTGACTCGGAGTCGGAGTTCCTCCTTCCCTTCGGATGAACAGTGTCCGAAAATTTCGCGCAGCCTTTCCCGCATTCTGTCTGACCTCGGTTTCGATTGTAGTCGAAAATTAGAAATCGTCGTCTGAGAATGAGTTTCTGCGTGAGAATCGACTTTAACGAAGAAGAGGCTCCCCTAGGAGGTGAATACCCACAAAAATGGAAATCCGGGTCTATGACCGTGGGACGATCCCGAAAGAAGCGTAATGAGTTGAAAGTGTTGATCAGCCTCAAGTGCCCGATCTCAATCGAGAGCTCGGAAGGCTTCGGTTTCGCTCAAAAGTTCTCAAGTTTAATCGTTCGCGTGCGAGCGGGAGAGTTACAATTATCGGGAGCATATGTTCATCCTTAACAGGGAGCGTGTCTCGATCTCTTAGAGGATGAAGGCGCCACCGGTTAAGAGAGCGACGATCAAGTATTTGGCTAGGGATTAATTCGAGTGGCTTTCGATGACTCTCACCTTTTCAGGTTCTTCTCCGTCGCAAGGAGCTGCCAACATACTCTCCAGATTCGCGCACCACACAACTCGAGTCGATGCTCCGCAGGAAGTACCCGGTGAACTCGAGCGATGAGGATTATCCTCTGGGACATTAAATGCTGACGAATCCTTTCAAGGGACTGACGAGAGCAACGCGGAGAAGCGCATCAGAGGTGATTGAGAGCACTCCACGGACAAGATCGAAAGTGAACATCGGCAGAGGCTGTTCTCGCGAGCGAGGTTTTGCTGTGGTAGGTTGTTCGTCGTCGTCGTCGCGTTTCACAACTCCGGGCCATCGGAGTGCCCTCAATGAAGCTCCCTCGCTCACTCGCTTGCCCCTGTGACTGGCCCGAGTTGGAGGAAACGTTCTATTTTCCGTCTGCGCAATACGTGCATGGGATCGGGGGCGTATGTTTACCAAATATGAGTACCATTCATAATGTGAAGTGTTTGCTCGGGCTGTATGCCTTATCCGTCCCACTTGAAGCTAGGGTAGGTGGTTGCTTTATAGATCAGCGCCTTCGGTCGTCGAGTTGGTCAGCCAAAGCTAGAAAAAACACTTGACACCGCAAGAGAGAGCGCGCGCTCTTATCAATTTCCTCTGCGATAACACGTTTGTATGGAGAAGCCGACCGGGTCGGAGCGCCTAGTTCAACTCGTCCTGGTCGCCATCGTGGTCGCCGTCGTTGTCGTCCACGCGTAAGACTCGCTGTTGGTAGAGGTTTAGGTGTTGGTAGAAGGAGTCGGTGGTTGTCGTCTCCCGCCGCGACTGTTATACGACCCTCTGTTGTGAATTCTTATCTGACTCGTACACGAGCCAACCTGCGAACCTGACCATATTTCACCAAGAACGACCAACAGCCGGCTTCCTGGACGACCGCTTGATCCAGGCCCGCGGAAATCTGTTCCTTCCATTATTCAGGGTTTGAAGACCCTGAATTTCAGCGGCAAATAGATTGTTGAGCTCACAGCCGCAGCACTAGAGGCCTCGTTGCGGTGTCGGCGCTTCCGCCGGGGCCGCTAACTGCCCGCAGAAATGAGTACCTAATATTCATTCGACCTCATTTCAACATCCAGCGCGTATTATTATCGAATTCTTGTCGGTCTTGTACCCACAGACGTAGGCCAGAGTCGCGCATCGAAGTTTGCACGTAAAATATATTTGTCGGTTTCGTTGGTTGTTCGGCTGATGAGTCTTGTCGGTCCTGTTTGGTCTACGGGGAAATCAGTCGGCTGGCTAGAGAACCATTCTCGTACGCCTCGGTGTGTCCCGGTACGCCTCGCTTCGCCTGAACGTGGCCGACCGGCAGGGCGATCCATATTCCTCCATCTATCGTCGCAGCGGCGACGCATTCTGTAGCCGTCGATATTGAATTCTGCGAAAAAGTATTCCGAAAGCGACAATGCTCACAATCCACCGGGCGCGGGTGCGCGCAAGCGCACGTTCGGCCCGATGCGAGAAGCCGAATCCGGTGGGTGATCAGAAGCTTGGAGGTTCTGTCGTGGGACTCCAGAGACCGGGACGGAATGAGTGAAGGAATATCACCAGGAATGTCCGTGTTCTCACAGACGAGTTTCACCATGCGGATGTTTCCTCAGACGACTGAGGGACCTCGAGTTCCCCGTGAGAGGCTTCGTGACTTGAGGAAGAATAAGGGGAACACGACTGATCCTAGGCTTTTCCGAAGTGTAATCAAAAACATTTCCGCCGACGCGACGACGGCTATCCATCGCTGGGTTGGTCCCCTTGTGACCGCGAGTCCGCTAAACGCCGACGTCTCGGCAGCTCGAGCATCGGAAGCTCCAATGAGCTCCATTCTCCTATTGCCCCAGTATTCACTATCGGAAGAGGCTCCCTAGGTTGAGCTCCGTTACGGTTGATTGTCGTAACGGAGATTCCTTCCGCATCTCGTATTTTTTCTGCTACAATGGCAACGAGAAGACCACGAAACGGTAGATAGCGGCGGCCGGCTACCCACCAGTCGGAAACTCAGTCAAGCGGACACTCTTCAACACAACACGACAAGCGAGGAATCTTTTGGTTTTTCCCTCCTCCGCGATCCCGAAAGGACAGAGTTGGGCAGCGAAGGAAAAGATCTAGTGAAACGGAGAAAAACGCCAACGAAAAACAAGCGTTTGCGGCGCCCGTAGACCACAAGAATCTTCGCGAGTGAGTGGTTTTCTTCAGATTGATAGGAATCGAGTGGGGTCGATTCGTCGACGGACTTATATTTCAGATCGATAGAGGAGTCTTGCGGCGGCGACCCAAGGACCTATCGTCGGAGAGACTCCGATAGCGGTCGACCGCTTTTTTGGTCCCTCAATTCTTCCCGAATCACGTTCAGCATACTCCCATCCTCCACGAGGCTTCTCGCGATACGCGAGTTGCCAGGTTGGTTACGTATATCGGGGAGAATACATCCTCAACAATGGCGGGAACGGAGGATTA